TATATATATATATTTTTTTTTTCATGAAAATAATCGTCGTCGTAATGTTTTTTTTTTTTGGTGAAATATTACTTTGCCATTTCTGGACAGGTTTTTGCGTTTCCAAGGGGGAAAAAAATGAAAAAGCCACTCAACGACCAAAAAAACCAAAACAATCAAATGACCTGTGTAATGTTTAGTATACATGACAGTTGAGTAAAGATTGTCACTGATTGCCGAAAACTCTAAAGTTATATGTGGTGAAATATGTGCATTTTTAACATACATAATTGCCTTCAATTATAGTGTTTAGCCGTCAGAAGTGATGCATCTTCTTAAAGGAGAAAGTGTCCACAGCACTTGTTCTACCTGTCGAAAGACATTTTACCAATTGGCGGTTGAAAGACACCCCTGTGGGTTATCAGGTGTAAAAGCACTGAAGTGAGTTTTAACTTTCACACTCATACAGTTTATAAAATCCCATCTAGATATGTAGTATTTGTTGGTTGAGAGAGCGTTGATCTCCCCTCTGTTAGGTTTTGTTTAGTCTTTTCTGTCGATTAGTCTCTGTAGTCAGTGAAGGTACAGCAAAATAGTGTTGTAAACGTGAGTCTAAAGGCTCCCGGTTGGGTGTCAGTGTTCGGCTGCTTCCGGTGATCGGATCTATTTGGCCTTTTGCACCAGCACAAATTCAATCTCTGATGTCGATCCAGTTTGCCTTTCAGAATGTCTCCCACTTACTTTTTGCACAGAAAACACGGGCTTATGTTGTATATCCTTTACAAACGTTAACTAATTTTTTGTTTGTTTTTATATTTTACATTACTTTCAATGTTATTTTTATGCTCTTATGTATAAAAGTATGATTGTAAATGAGTGTACGTGAATGTTTGCTTCATATCACCACGTCTGCTTGTGAAAACTACCAACAAACTGGCATTGGAAGGTAAAAATACAATATATTGATGGTTTATGGAAACCAGGGAACTTTAATTTGTTTGACGATCAGCAATAACACTTTGAAATTTTTTTCTCTTTTTCTCCACGCCAAACTGAGATGAATTGCTCAAAGAAAATATTGTGTCAAATGGAGTTTAGAGAAAATGTATTCATGCTGCAGTCAAATAGGAATAATAAAAGGAAAGTGAAAGCCCTGACCCTGGAGCACAAGAGCAGTCTTAAGTCGCTGGGGTATATTTGTAGCAATAGCCAAAAATACATTGTATGGGTCAAAATTGTTTTTTCTTTTATGCCAAAAATCATTAGGATATTAAGTAAAGATCATGTTCCATGAAGATATTTTGTAAATTTCCTACCGTAAATATATTAAAACTTAATTTTTAATTAGTAATATGCATTGCTAAGAACTTCATTTGGACAACTCTGAAGGTGATTGTATCTCAGCCAAATATTGTCCTATCCTAACAAACCATACATCAATGGAAAGCTTATTTATTCAGCTTTCATATGACGTATAAATCTAAATTTCGAAAAATTGACCCTTATGACTGGTTTTGTGGTCCAGGGTCACACTTATAAATATATATATATAAGTCTATTTGCAGAATATAGAGTAGAATATTCACAAAACTTTGAGATTGACACTGCCCAATGTCACTGTAAGATCACCAGATCTGTTCCTACTATTCTGACCCACATTCTCATCACGGTTTATTGTGTTTGGTGGCTGGTTTTTGAATGTGTCATTTTTCATGACCTCAGAACCCCATGCAGCACAATATCTCAATCACTGGTGTGTTTTTGATTTGGAAAACCAACGGTGTGTGATTGAATAATTTATTATTACAAGAATGGTTATCGTGTTCCAGAAATAAATTATTTTCTTGTTTAAAAAACAAGTTGGTCTTATGTGATTTTTCTCCAGGGGGTATGCATTTTTACTAGGGTTTTTTATTTTATTATTTTTGTATTTTGTCAGTTGTATCTGTATCTGTGGCTCAGTGGTAGAGCATTGCGTTAGCAGTGCCAAAGGTTGTGGGTTCGATTCCAAGGGAACACACATACTGGTAAAAAAAAATGTATCGCATGAATGCACTGTAAGTTGCTTTGGATAAAAGCGTCTGCTAAATGCATAAATTATAATTAATTAAATTAATTAAGTTTTTTTTTAAATTTTTTATTAAAAAGTATCATATGCACACCAAGGCTGCATTTATTTGATCAAAAATACAGTGAAAACAGTAATATTGCGGAATATTATTACAATTTAAAATAACCATTTTCTATTTGAATTTAATTTCAAATGTCATTTGTTCCTGTGATCAAAGCTGAATTTTCTGCATCATTCCTCCAGTCTTCAGTGTCACATGATCCTTCAGAAATCATTCTAATATGCTGATTTGCTGCTCATGAAACATTATCAATTTTGAAAATAGTTTTGTGGCTTAATATTTTAGTGGAAATTGTTTTTTCTTACTGATACCTGTAACTGGTGTATATTGTCAGTAATACTAGTAGTTAACATGCTTATTTGTTCAGTGTGGACCTTTTATTTGGACATCAGATGTACAAAACACTCAACATTTTGCCCACTTTATTGAAAATGTCAATTAGACTTGACACAGGCTAAAGCTCTGGGTCTAGAAGAACCAACAACGATAACATTATATCTACTTAAAGCAGCACGATGTAACTTTTTCTGTGTTCAAAATTTGCGTATAGACATAAACTTAGAGAAGTAGCTCCGGTTGGAATGTTCTTCCGCGGGATGTGTGCAGTTTTGTTTATTAACCGCTAGAGCGCCAAAAGTAACAACCCTATTATTTCTTGGTCAAGGCTTGTAATCAAGTATCAATTTTGAAAATAGTTTTGTGGCTTAATATTTTAGTGGAAATAGTTTTTTCTTACTGATACCTGTAACTGGTGTATATTGTCAGTAATACTAGTAGTTAACATGCTTATTTGTTCAGTGTGGACCTTTTATTTGGACATCAGATGTACAAAACACTCAACATTTTGCCCACTTTATTGAAAATGTCAATTAGACTTGACACAGGCTAAAGCTCTGGGTCTAGAAGAACCAACAACGATAACATTATATCTACTTAAAGCAGCACGATGTAACTTTTTCTGTGTTCAAAATTTGCGTATAGACATAAACTTAGAGAAGTAGCTCCGGTTGGAATGTTCTTCCGCGGGATGTGTGCAGTTTTGTTTATTAACCGCTAGAGCGCCAAAAGTAACAACCCTATTATTTCTTGGTCAAGGCTTGTAATCAAGTTTATGCATTTGATTCTAATTATTACACTTATTTTCAACACACAACTAGTACAAAAATGTATTTTGATAAATTTCAGGCCACCGTTTTCAAGGCAAAGAATTCAAAACACTTTAGCAAAGTTTCTCTGTTTAAAACAAATGTCAGATAAGTCATCCCAAAAGTACATCTGTTAACAGGGCCTGCTTTTTACACTTTTATTGTAATACAGTGGCTTAAAATAATAAACTCTACAATTGTAATAATTTCCTTCATAGTTTCTATAAAACATTTAAATCATATATTAAACAAACAAAAGGTTACAGTGTTATGCTATTGGCTTGGGTGGTTTAAAGGGCTGTATCTTCAGATCCAAACAGCTTGATCGCCGTCTCTTTGCCGTCACAGTCGGGACCCGTCCCATCGAAATCCGGAGGAAGGATTTCAGCACCAAAGTCCCTGAAGTAGCCATCCAGCTCGTCACCGTGAACAAAAACCTAGTCGATAAACAGGTTCAGATTTCTCATTTAAAAACATTTTCATAAGTGCACATAAGATGAGTCATGTGATCTCAATATGGAGTGACTCTTAAATGGTTTAGCGAGTGTGCATTTCTTTAGGTGTGCAAGGTTTTAAGTTTCTAAAGTGGAACTAATTACTTCATGCATCTTTTGTTTCTGTTCTCCTTTTGAACTCATTTGTCAGAATAGTGAACCTCTTGTTCAACCCTGTTCCGATTTTTTTTTTCTCCCACATTCACTTGAATTCCACTCACCCTTTCCAGCAGTTTGCTCTTCATGAAGGGCTTCACCACGTTATAGGTGGTTGTGAAGTACCAGGGCTGGTGGATCACATGCACTGCCTTGAATCGGGCCGGGAAAGAGTCCTGTATCATACATACAGACAGCACAAGATTTATGTCAGCCAGCGCTATATGATATATGAGGCTGTGATCTGAAGGCAAAATAAGGCGTTTACCTGTAGCATGTCCACCATCTTCTTCAGCTCGGTGTGTTTGATTCCAGACGCGTGCTGCATCGTGAAGCCCTTGAAGTTCTCAATGAGGACAAAGCCATTGATTTGGGTCTCTTCGTTTTCTAGAAGTTTCTCAAGGATTATGCAGTAGGCACATAGAGTCTGTGAAAAGACACATTTGTGTTTGAGACAGGGTTGTTATTGTTAACTAAACCTAAAACCATTTAAAAAAGTTACATATAAAAACATTTTGGTTACTTGAATTAAAATACATAACTGAAATAAAATATATTATTGTATTTTATTTCAGCCTGTTGCCTGTTTTTTTTTTTTTCACTTGAAATACTAAAATAATTAAAGCTGAAATAAAAAAATAATAAGAGTTATACAGACATATTTAACAAAAAAAAAAGAAAAGAAAGAAAAGCCCAAAGTAATATAAATGATGAACAAACACATCAAAATCACGGAGCCCTGCACAAGACATGCACAATTTATAAATCGATGGAACAAAATACTAAATCGTGTGCACAATTTATAAATCGACGGAACAAAAAACTAAATTGTGCGCACAATTTAGTTTTTTGTTCCGTCGATTTATAAATTGTGCACACGATTTAGTATTTTGTTCCCTCGATTTATAAATCATGTGCATAATTTACTAGTTCGTTCCCTCGATTTATAAATCATGTGCATAATTTACTAGTTCGTTCCCTCGATTTATAAATCATGTGCATAATTTACTAGTTCGTTCCCTCGATTTATAAATCATGTGCATAATTTACTATTTTGTTCCGTAGATTTATAAATTGTGCGCACAATTTATAAATCTACGGAACAAAATAGTAAATTATGCACATGATTTATAAATCGAGGGAACAAAATACTAAATCGTGTGCACAATTTATAAATCGACGGAACAAAAAACTAAATTGTGCGCACAATTTATAAATCTACGGAACAAAATAGTAAATTATGCACATGATTTATAAATCGAGGGAACGAACTAGTAAATTATGCACATGATTTATAAATGGAGGGAATGAAATAGTAAATTATGCACATGATTTATAAATCGACGGAACAAAATACTAAATCGTGCTCACAATTTATAAATCGAGTGAACGAAATAGTAAATTGTGCACATGATTTATAAATCGACGGAACAAAATATTAAATCGTGCTCACAATTTATAAATCGTGCTCACAATATATAAATCGAGGGAACAAAATATTAAATCGTGCTCACAATTTATAAATCGAGGGAACAAAATATTAAATCGTGCTCACAATTTATAAATCGAGGGAACAAAATATTAAATCGTGCTCACAATTTATAAATCGAGGGAACAAAATATTAAATCGTGCTCACAATTTATAAATCGAGGGAACAAAATATTAAATCGTGCTCACAATTTATAAATCGAGGGAACAAAATATTAAATCGTGCTCACAATTTATAAATCGAGGGAACAAAATATTAAATCGTGCTCACAATTTATAAATCGAGGGAACAAAATATTAAATCGTGCTCACAATTTATAAATCGAGGGAACAAAATATTAAATCGTGCTCACAATTTATAAATCGAGGGAACAAAATATTAAATCGTGCTCACAATTTATAAATCGAGGGAACAAAATATTAAATCGTGCTCACAATTTATAAATCGAGGGAACAAAATATTAAATCGTGCTCACAATTTATAAATCGAGGGAACAAAATATTAAATCGTGCTCACAATTTATAAATCGAGGGAACAAAATATTAAATCGTGCTCACAATTTATAAATCGAGGGAACAAAATATTAAATCGTGCTCACAATTTATAAATCGAGGGAACAAAATATTAAATCGTGCTCACAATTTATAAATCGAGGGAACAAAATATTAAATCGTGCTCACAATTTATAAATCGAGGGAACAAAATATTAAATCGTGCTCACAATTTATAAATCGAGGGAACAAAATATTAAATCGTGCTCACAATTTATAAATCGAGGGAACAAAATATTAAATCGTGCTCACAATTTATAAATCGAGGGAACAAAATATTAAATCGTGCTCACAATTTATAAATCGAGGGAACAAAATATTAAATCGTGCTCACAATTTATAAATCGAGGGAACAAAATATTAAATCGTGCTCACAATTTATAAATCGAGGGAACAAAATATTAAATCGTGCTCACAATTTATAAATCGAGGGAACAAAATATTAAATCGTGCTCACAATTTATAAATCGAGGGAACAAAATATTAAATCGTGCTCACAATTTATAAATCGAGGGAACAAAATATTAAATCGTGCTCACAATTTATAAATCGAGGGAACAAAATATTAAATCGTGCTCACAATTTATAAATCGAGGGAACAAAATATTAAATCGTGCTCACAATTTATAAATCGAGGGAACAAAATATTAAATCGTGCTCACAATTTATAAATCGAGGGAACAAAATATTAAATCGTGCTCACAATTTATAAATCGAGGGAACAAAATATTAAATCGTGCTCACAATTTATAAATCGAGGGAACAAAATATTAAATCGTGCTCACAATTTATAAATCGAGGGAACAAAATATTAAATCGTGCTCACAATTTATAAATCGAGGGAACAAAATATTAAATCGTGCTCACAATTTATAAATCGAGGGAACAAAATATTAAATCGTGCTCACAATTTATAAATCGAGGGAACAAAATATTAAATCGTGCTCACAATTTATAAATCGAGGGAACAAAATATTAAATCGTGCTCACAATTTATAAATCGAGGGAACAAAATATTAAATCGTGCTCACAATTTATAAATCGAGGGAACAAAATATTAAATCGTGCTCACAATTTATAAATCGAGGGAACAAAATATTAAATCGTGCTCACAATTTATAAATCGAGGGAACAAAATATTAAATCGTGCTCACAATTTATAAATCGAGGGAACAAAATATTAAATCGTGCTCACAATTTATAAATCGAGGGAACAAAATATTAAATCGTGCTCACAATTTATAAATCGAGGGAACAAAATATTAAATCGTGCTCACAATTTATAAATCGAGGGAACAAAATATTAAATCGTGCTCACAATTTATAAATCGAGGGAACAAAATATTAAATCGTGCTCACAATTTATAAATCGAGGGAACAAAATATTAAATCGTGCTCACAATTTATAAATCGAGGGAACAAAATATTAAATCGTGCTCACAATTTATAAATCGAGGGAACAAAATATTAAATCGTGCTCACAATTTATAAATCGAGGGAACAAAATACTAAATCGTGCGCACAATTTATAAATCGATGGAACAAAATACTAAATCGTGAGCAAAATGTATAAATCGACAGAACAAAATACTAAATCGTGTGCATGATTTATAAATCGACGGAACCAAATACTAAATCGTGCGCACGATTTATAAATCGATGGAACAAAATAGTAAATTATACACATGATTTATAAATCGAGGGAACGAACTAGTAAATTATGCACATGATTTATAAATCAAGGGAACGAAATAGTAAATCGTGCACACGATTTATAAATCGAGGGATATAAATCGATGGAACAAAATACTAAATCGTGAGCAAAATGTATAAATCGACGGAACAAAATACTAAATCGTGTGCACGATTTATAAATCGACGGAACCAAATACTAAATCGTGCGCACGATTTATAAATCGATGGAACAAAATAGTAAATTATACACATGATTTATAAATCGAGGGAACGAACTAGTAAATTATGCACATGATTTATAAATCAAGGGAACGAAATAGTAAATCGTGCACACGATTTATAAATCGAGGGAACAAAATAGTAAATTGTGCACATGATTTATAAATTGACGGAACAAAATACTAAATCGTGCTCACAATTTATAAATCGAGGGAACAAAATACTAAATCGTGCTCACAATTTATAAATCGAGGGAACAAAATACTAAATCGTGTGAACAAATTATAAATCGTGCTCACAATTTATAAATCGAGGGAACAAAATACTAAATCGTGTGAACAAATTATAAATCGTGCTCACAATTTATAAATCGACGGAACAAAATACTAAATCGTGCACACGTTTTAGTACATCGAGGGAACAAAATACTAAATTGTGCGCACAATTTATAAATCGACGAAACAAAATACTAAATCGTGCACACGTTTTAGTACATCGAGGGAACAAAATACTAAATCGTGTG